CATAATCTTTCATGCATTAGGTTCTGGAAAGTGAGTCAAAGACATGCCAAGGATATGATCCTTTAAAATTTACTTAGGTTAATTGCACTTCTCTAAGGAAATGGCAACCCACTCCAGTACTCTTGCCTGGAAAATCCCGTGGACTGAGGATCCTGGTAGGCTACAGTCCATGGGGTCGCAAAGAGTTGGACACAACTGAGTGACGTCACTTTCATCTTTGTTAGGGGGGGCTTCCCATGTGGCGCTAGTGATAAAGAACCTGCCTGCCAATACAGGAGACACAAGAGATTTAGGTTCGATCCCTGGGTCGGGAAGATTCCCTGGAGGAGGGCATAGCAACCCACTCCAGTATTCTTGCCTGGGGAATCCCATGAACAGAGGAGCCTGGGGAGCTGCAGTCCATCAGGTCACAGAGTCAGAAGTGACTGAAGTGACTCAGCACATATGCACCTTTGCTAGGGGGAGAAATAGTTTTGTTCTAAAGCAAAAGATGAACATTACCAATCTCTTCTGATTTTTGCCTCTCTTGATTCAGAGGACTAATTCATATTGATCTCTTTATCTTGCCTCTTTAAATTGACTGAATTTTCCTTTAATAATCAAGTTTCCTATTAATAGCTGTACTGAGCAAGAGGAGTAAAATCAATATGTGATTTAATGGCTCCTCCTGTCAGGGGCACTATTGATTGTATTACTAATGATTTTGAAATGATATACCATTATGCAAGTCCCATCTATTTTAGGTGGCTTTGCCAGGCACCCACAGAAGTACTGTTTTCTTTTCCCTCATAGCTGATCTTCCAGTGTCACAGTTATCAAGTACCAAAACATTTTCTAAGGATTATAATCCCAGTGACTAGTAATACTCTATTGACAAATTTTAAGTGTTTATTATACAAATGAATGGGGTGAGACCTTATGTTTTTCACATTGATCAGCTACTCAGAATGTAGAAAATAAACCTATCACAGCAATGAAAATGAAAAGTGAAAGTAAAGTCGCTCAGTCGTGTCCAACTCTTTGCGACTCCATGGACTGTAGCCTACCAGGATCCTTAGTCCATGGGATTTCCCAGGCAAGAATACTGGAGTGGGTTGCCATTTCCTTCTCCAGGGTATCTTCCCGACCTAGGGATAGTAGATTAAATTCACCAAGGATCAGAAACACTGTTACTTGGGTTTTTCTGTTTATTTGTGAATAAGTGGTCATGTTGCCCTTTGGGGATGAAACTGGGAGCCCCTCCTAAACAAATGCTTACCTTAATAGAAATACCACTCCAAGCATCTCCGCTATGCTTTATTTCTATAATAATGCATGAGATCTGGGATGGGTTGGGAGTACAGATGGAAAAAGACAAGTCAAATGTTTTTATGTAATATAAGCAAGAGCATTGCAACATGCACTCTACCATGAAGTGTCTTGATTAGGGGCCGTTAGGAAAAGTGGAATTGGGGTTTTCACCAAACCAATTGCATCTTATTTTCTTCGCCCATGATGAAAGAAGTGGCCATAATCTTTCATGCATTAGGTTCTGGAAAGTGAGTCAAAGACATGCCAAGGATATGATCCTTTAAAATTTACTTAGGTTAATTGCACTTCTCTAAGGAAATGGCAACCCACTCCAGTACTCTTGCCTGGAAAATCCCGTGGACTGAGGATCCTGGTAGGCTACAGTCCATGGGGTCGCAAAGAGTTGGACACAACTGAGTGACGTCACTTTCATCTTTGTTAGGGGGGGCTTCCCATGTGGCGCTAGTGATAAAGAACCTGCCTGCCAATACAGGAGACACAAGAGATTTAGGTTCGATCCCTGGGTCGGGAAGATTCCCTGGAGGAGGGCATAGCAACCCACTCCAGTATTCTTGCCTGGGGAATCCCATGAACAGAGGAGCCTGGGGAGCTGCAGTCCATCAGGTCACAGAGTCAGAAGTGACTGAAGTGACTCAGCACATATGCACCTTTGCTAGGGGGAGAAATAGTTTTGTTCTAAAGCAAAAGATGAACATTACCAATCTCTTCTGGTTTTTGCCTCTCTTGATTCAGAGGACTAATTCATATTGATCTCTTTATCTTGCCTCTTTAAATTGACTGAATTTTCCTTTAATAATCAAGTTTCCTATTAATAGCTGTACTGAGCAAGAGGAGTAAAATCAATATGTGATTTAATGGCTCCTCCTGTCAGGGGCACTATTGATTGTATTACTAATGATTTTGAAATGATATACCATTATGCAAGTCCCATCTATTTTAGGTGGCTTTGCCAGGCACCCACAGAAGTACTGTTTTCTTTTCCCTCATAGCTGATCTTCCAGTGTCACAGTTATCAAGTACCAAAACATTTTCTAAGGATTATAATCCCAGTGACTAGTAATACTCTATTGACAAATTTTAAGTGTTTATTATACAAATGAATGGGGTGAGACCTTATGTTTTTCACATTGATCAGCTATTCAGAATGTAGAAAATAAACCTATCACAGCAATGAAAATGAAAAGTGAAAGTAAAGTCGCTCAGTCGTGTCCAACTCTTTGCGACTCCATGGACTGTAGCCTACCAGGATCCTTAGTCCATGGGATTTCCCAGGCAAGAATACTGGAGTGGGTTGCCATTTCCTTCTCCAGGGTATCTTCCCGACCTAGGGATAGTAGATTAAATTCACCAAGGATCAGAAACACTGTTACTTGGGTTTTTCTGTTTATTTGTGAATAAGTGGTCATGTTGCCCTTTGGGGATGAAACTGGGAGCCCCTCCTAAACAAATGCTTACCTTAATAGAAATACCACTCCAAGCATCTCCGCTATGCTTTATTTCTATAATAATGCATGAGATCTGGGATGGGTTGGGAGTACAGATGGAAAAAGACAAGTCAAATGTTTTTATGTAATATAAGCAAGAGCATTGCAACATGCACTCTACCATGAAGTGTCTTGATTAGGGGCCGTTAGGCCCAGAAGACAGTAGTAGGACCCTTCTAATGCCCACCAGCATTTTCCCACACACGATCATATGATGCTGATGGCTTTAGCAGTGATGTACAAGTATAGTTTATGATTACAAGGCAGTAAGACGGAAATTAATACCTAAAATGCATAATTTGGATGACAAATAAGGTAGATGTTTGGCAGGTTTTTTGAAGAATAAATTTGATCTCACTTGCCAGATTTATTTTAAAATTTAAATCACATGTATCATCAATTCCTATATCTTCTTGTGCTTTCTCTAATATTTTGTATTTTTTTGGATATTGAGGAATGATCAGATACCATGGTGTAGTCAGAACAGGCTGGTTATAGATATAAAGTAATTTGGTGAACTCCAGAACATAGTTCTGGAAGTTAGAAATTATTCACTGTATGTATATATATATGTGTGTGTATATATATATGTGTGTGTGTGTGTATATATATATATATATATATATATATATATATACGTGACTGGATTTTTGTCAGACTGTTGGTAGTTTTACAAATACCTAACTGATCTTTAAAAATGATATTGCTTTAGTCATTGACAGCTGTTCACCCAGCCTTACTATTTCAGTCTTTGAAGACAAAGCTGAGATTGGAAGGCACTATCATGTGTTCCAGTTCCTTAGCAGTGAGCCATTGGGATGTGAGTGTTATGGGGGATGTTCTTTAGGTGAGGAGCAAGGAGGAGGTTATGAGGCTCTTTAGAACCAGAAGCAGTCATTTGTTCTCACTTAGCATTAGAGGCTGGGAAATTCAGAGAATTGAAAGCAAGTTCTACCTTTATTCTCCTTCATATGAGAAAAGAAAGCTGGTGCTCTTTGGCATATGTAGGTCTAAACAAAACTTGAGAGCTTTGGTCAATAAAAAAGAAAAACACAAAGAGAGATCTTTATAGAAAACCTGGAAAATTCCACCAAAACTAAATAATGTGCATGACATTAAAACTGTATGTCTTTGAAAACTCATCATTTTTAAACCTTTATTCAGAAATATTCTTGGCCAATGTTACTGAACAAAAGATATTTTCAAGAACAAACACGTGTTTGTGGGCTCTGAGTAAGTTGTAATACATGAAGTGATTAAACCCTTATTAATTAAAAGGTAACACTAGATTTCTTTTCAGAGTCATCAAGGCTTAGGGGAGGTTTAGATTTGCATAATATTTGCATTTGTCATACCTGCCTGTCAATCACAACCATAAGACAACAGGCGAAAAGTGCCAAAGGATCAATTACAGGAAGAATTCTTAATGAAATGTCTCTATGTATCCATGGAGTTTGCAAGAAGGGTAAAGAGTGTATTTTGTCTAAGTTGAAACTCAACTGTGGGAGGGAAGAAAATAGAACATCACTCCCCACCCCCACTTTAAGAGGCTTTCATCTTTAGAGAGACAAAGCACAACTTCCCCTTGTGATCTAGGTGGAAAATCTCACTCACTTGAAAATGAGTTTGACAGTAGGACATTGGGTGGGGTAAGATATTTTATTTTGTGATCCTTTTATATATATATTTTAATAAAATTTTATGATAAAAATGTTATGTTTGGAAATACAGTAAAGCAAAATGAAAGTCCCACAAAAATGATCCTCATGCCTGTTATGAAGTGAGGTAGCCTCTGTTCATATTTTGATGTGGTTTGCTGATTTGTATCACAGGAGTGAATTCCAGAGCATAGCTCAGACAGTCCTATGGTTAAGGTATTTACTTACAAATATATTTTTCTTTTCTTATTGTGATCTGTGTTTTTCTGCTTCCCACAAGGACGATAAACCTAGTAGTACGAGAGCTGTATTTTGACTAAAATAATTCTGTGGCCCTGGGCAGGGCCGCTGTGCATTGGGTGATCTCTCTGGGCTCTCAGACCCATCCCACACCCATTCTGGAAGGACAGTCTCACAGTCCAGAAGTTTCTCAGTTGGCGTTTGTCTGGAAGTGCTGCTCGTTAACCTTGCTTTCCTCTTCTCTATGTTCCTTCTCTTCTCTTTCCTCTTCCCCTTGTTCGTCAATTTCTATTCTTCTCTGTTTCAGCAAAACAATATCAGTCAAGGTAATTGATGATGAGGAGTATGAGAAAAACAAGACCTTCTTCCTTGAGATTGGAGAGCCCCGCCTGGTGGAGATGAGTGAGAAGAAAGGTGGGGAAGCTGCTCCAGGGCTGAGCCCAACAGCTTCTGCTGGCCTGTGCCACCCCTGGATGCCTGCACTCTTCAGAACGTGACTTACAATGCACACATCCCTCCACCTATGTAACAGGGCATAGATCTCCTTGGGGCCACAGGAGGCCTGGCCTGGGGCCCCATCAACCAGTGTGGGCCACTATGCATATTGCAGTTTGAGCATCGGCAGTGCAGTCAAGCTTCCATTGCTGGGAATGTTGGTGCTGATGCTGGCTACACCCCCATAAAGCCAACTGTCTGATTTCTTTTCTTAATTCGGGGTACCTCCTGGCTGCTCAATTGAAGCAGAAGGATTTGTATCAGTGATGGATTGGCAGAGAATATCAGTGGGGGCCAGCTGAGAGCCCCTGGATGCCCTTTTACATACTCCCGGAGGCCCATGTGTGGCCAGCTCTCCTTCCATAACATCACAGTAACATGCTGCTTGGTGAACGCCTAGCATGAGCGTGTGACTCCAACCATTTGTTTTGCCTTTGTCTTGTGTTCCCACAGGAAGATCATTACCATTAGAATATTTGACCGTGAGGAATATGAGAAAGAGTGCAGTTTCTCCCTTGTGCTTGAGGAACCAAAATGGATAAGAAGAGGAATGAAAGGTGTGAGAGTATACAAAGACATACCAGCGAGAAATTGTACTCTTCTCTCCGTGTCTCCTACTCTCACACTTAACTCTCTCCTCTTCCTCGGCTTCCAAGTACTATACTTCCTCTCCTTTGAAGCTTTAGCAACTTCATTTCCCTTCCCTATTTCACAGTGCACCAAGAAATGCCCCTTTTCTTCAGGAAATGCCAGTTCACCTTAATTGATACCAGATTTCAGAAACAATGGAAAAGAGTTCTGTAATTCAGAAAGGATGACATAAAAGAAGAATTTCTGGGTTTAGTTTTTCACTACTCAGGAATCATTCAAAAATGTGGTTCCAGCTATTAAGCATCCCCTAACATGGTAGCAATGGACACTACTGCATACATATTAGTCATGGTAGTTGTGTCTCATGGTAAATAATAGGAAATTTCAGAAGAATTCAATAATTAGTCTTTCTTAGAGAAACCAGTTTTCAAAAAAAAAACAAAAACAGTAAGAACAAAGATCTTTAAAGAGTAGCATTCATTTTTGCATAGTATTATTCATATCATCAGATACGAGATTTAAAAGGTATAAAACCTATAGGCATATGAATTTTCTTTAGTAGGAATGACATGATGATAGTTCATTAAGAACTTAACCATTAATTAAGGCTGATTCTGCCTTATGCTTCAAACTTTTTCAATTCTTATTGAACTGACACATTTCTAACAAAGAAATTTTTTCTAAAAATAAAAAATAGCACAAAATTTAAAATTTTTTAAATTTTGTTTAAAAACAAAATTTTAAAGCTGAATTTTATATCAGCTTTAAAAATGGTTTTTTTTTAAAATTTTGAATTATTCTAAAGGCTTCCCATAATTACCCTCTACTAGTGGACATTTTAAAAGGAATGGTAAATTATATCTATAAAATGAACATAGTACATATTGATTACATTCAAACAATTGATGAGAGCAGTTTAAATGTTTAAATGACCACTTTGCAAGAAATATATACTTTTACATGTAAAGGAAAGCCAAATAGAAAAGACTAATTCCTATATAGACCCAACATTCGGGGGAATTTAACTAATCTTGCTTTCATTAGAACATTCTGGCCTCTGAGTCCATCAGAAAAACAAAGTTGTCCTGACTTAATCTAGTTCAAAAAGATAACAGGACTTTTGGAATGATGGAGGAGGAACACTGGGGACCCATTTTAATGCAGCTTATTTAATATGCACCATAGACAGCAGGTGGAAGAAAAAGACACTTTAGAAAATTGTGCTGATTTCTTACAAAGATGGGATCAAAAATGCCTCATTAACATACAGGAAAAAGCACTTACTTCTAATTGTATTCCTCCAAAGAATTGCCTTTTATCTCAAGGAAGAGCATCTTGGATACACAGCTCTTTCAATTGTCATTTTAGTAAAATATGCCTTCATATAAAAGCAAATTAAAATTCCTTGATAGTACTATCTGCTTTTGACACCCACCAAGTGGATCTGTGTCATCATAAATAAAATAACTGACTTGTTTTTGAAAGTTTCTTCTAATGACACTACCATTAGAAAACTGGTCTTGAAGAAGTAATTGTAACATTCTCATCTGTAACTGTGGAAGTAATTTATTTGATACATTTAGGCAAGTAGATTTCACCAAAATAAAGTGCTACAGTTACAGTCTGAGTTTAAAGCACATAGCCTATATGTCCCCTCACCCCACCACAAGCCTTCCCCTGCTGACTTGTCAGTTTCCGTGAAATTATGTGTCCACAAGAAGCCATGTGGCCGTCCAATTAGAATGTGCAGAAGTCATAGATAAGGACACACAAATAAGCACTAATTCCTGGGACTTAAGTTTTGAGGATTTAAAAGAACCTAAGCATTCCTTGATGATCAAAATATCAGCATATAGAACCTTCAGTGAGAAAACTTCACCTCGGGTCAAAACCTCATTATCAGGAGGGATGGCCAAAATGAAATGTCCTAAGATGCTTTCTCCATTTTCATTGAAAGGTACATGAAAGGTACAATCCCTGAGATCCTGGATGATTTCAGACTTCTGTCTGTTGAATTCACTAACTCCCAGGCAATTATTTCATGAGGAAGACTCACTCAAAAATTTAAGATTAACTTCATAAAATATTTCTGGTATATTTGGCAAACTAGATATATACACTGTGTGTAAACATATAGCGGACATGTTTTCTTAAATGTCAAGAAATGATATATAAAGTGAATTGTTTATATATATAATCAGTCACACCCATTTGCAGAAATTAGGGATTTTTTTTGGAAATACTCCCAATGCCACATTTACTTGGCATGCACCATTTAGTAGCAGCTCCCTACCACTATAATCAGATCTGCCTGGATTTCTTTCTGCTGATATTCCTCTTACTTTCATTATTCATCTGGTCTCTTATTCTGTGTTTGTCTTTGTCTGTTTCCTTCACAGCCCTGTTATTGAATGAGCTTGGTAAGCATTTCATTTCTTGCATTTCCTTTCCATTTTTCTAGGTTATTTTTCTTTTCTATCAGGTGCCACAGTAGCTTTCTGACTTGTCTTTTATTTCTATTGATTTATTAAGAAGATTGTTGTTTAGAGCGATTGGCCTCATGATTTTGTGGAAGTCAGATAGTTTACATTCCACTTTGAGTTTAGTATTACCTTTTTTAAAAAAACAGTGATTTTTTTAGGCATGCACAAGAATTAAATTTGTGCACTAAACATCATAACCTTAAAATAATGATTAATGATTAAGTCATGAATTGATGTTTCCATACCTTTCTTAATTATAAATACAATTTGGCAAGTTTTTGTACCTTGGATGGGTTGTCAGGTGGTCTGATGTCACTGGTATTTGTTATTTAGAGTGAAAATGAAATAAATGGTAACATTTATTTTTTTTTCTTTTTTAGGTGGCTTCACAATAACAGGTATGAAATTTTTAAGTCTAATGAACCAAATTTTATTTTTTACTATCTGTTCTCACCATGTGTTATTTACATTTTAAAAAATTATTTCCCATTTTTATTTCCTTTTAATAAAGGGAAATACCTGTATGGTAAGACAATTTTTTAAAATGTTCTTCATTTTCTCCCAGTTAACCCTTAAATATCAAGTAAGAACCACATCTTACTTACCCTGAATTAACTTTTAGCTGTGGTACACGGTTTGCTCTTGCTGATTTTACACATTTAATGTTTTACACATTAACAATATGTGTGTTGTGTTTATTTATGAGCAAATTTGTATGGAGAACTTATAATTGGTCGTGTTTTGACACTGATCAATTTACAGAGGTTCACATAGTGCTGATAATGTTAGGGAACTCTGCTGGATGCTCCAGAGAGTACCAGAATAAATACAATGATTGCTAGTTTCAAGGTAACATAGGAGTTGACATTCAAACCAACTCCCTGGCCCAAGCTCAGGATTCTAATCATAGATAATGTCCTATTGGGAGAAGACAAAGCATGCTTTCTCTGTGCCCACCACACCCATCTGAGAAGGCTGAGCATTCTTAACATGGTAATGAATAATATGTCTGCCACTTGAAGTGGATGACAAGTGTTCTGTAAAAACTCAAAATGCTAGTTAAAAAATTTAAAACTCTTAAATTCAGAATGGTACCCAGCCACTGTTGATTGCATTTTTAAGCACAACTTTAGAGCTATTTCCTTATGTATAGAAGGGAGATATTTCCTTACAGCATCCTCTCTTTTGACCTTAAATATTTTTGCACACTTTCAAAATCATCCATGTAGATTTAGAGAGGGAAGTAAATATCCTAGTTTGTCTGAAGCTGCATGTTGCAGCTGTCTCTAAAGGCTGTCCTAATGGTTGTGGCATTTTCCAATACAGTTATGTAGATATCAATAGTCTAGTTATTTTTTTCTGAAACAAGATAGCTGAACAAAAATATTTAGAAAAGAAACATTTCAAAAATTCTATTTGAAAATGTTATGGTGGGGGTTAGGGTTAACTTAAACCACCATCAGTGTAAACTCATGATCAGGAAGTTTCAACATGATTCTGTTAAAGTGGAACTTTCTGGATGCATTCAATTTCACATGGGCTATTGCTCTCCACTGCTTTCTCTCCAGACACAGTGTTAAACGACAAAATAATTCATAGGCTCTTGGAGACATAGAATTTGAAAAGGATAAAAACGTTCAACAGGGCAAGTGCTCATAGAGAATTTCTTAAACCTGATTACCTGACTTTCTCCTAGGTCAAGTCTTCCAGTTCTGCACTGCCAATGATGCTAGTTTTGAATCTGAAGACAGGAACGTACATTTACTTTTAAAACTTTAATCTTATCTTTTTCATCTTATCATTTACTGAAGTCTTTTTGGAAATATTCTGATTCAACCACCCAATAAGTAACTGGTCCGTGTGTGCTTTGAGGAAGGTAGGAATAGTATATTATCTACTGCTTGGCCCTATGCAACCTGATGCTGAGACCTTAACAAAGTCTTTAGCAATAGATAGAATCTCTTGTTAAAATGTATTGATGTGTTTGGATATCTTCCTGTTTTATCATTGACTATGTCAGGATTTTGCTTTTAGGGGCTTCCTTCTGTCACTTGAAGCATCTTTCTTTTTAGTAACTAATTAATGGTATTTAATTTTCTTTTCTCAGAAATTGTTCATATCAAGTTCTAGAATACCTGACTAATAATATTTAACATTTTCTGTCTTGGATGCATTATGCATCCAAGAGGACAGAATCATGTATTTCAAAGGTTTTCTACTATTTCATATACTTCATTAAACTATTTCTTATGGTTCAGACTTTATAGTCTCCAATAGCAGTTTTTCTGGTGTTACCACCTCTTCCCAAAACTTGCAACGATGCAGTTAAAATGAGAGAATTTGCAGAACCCTCTGAGGATCTCTACATTGGTTTGTTACTCTCACTTTATATGACGCTTCTTCTCTTGAACCAAGAATATCTGGGATCCACTCTCTAGAGATACCTCTGGGGAAAGTTCTAAAATGTAGGTCCACACAGTGAAAAGCAGCTGTAAGCCCTGAAGAGCTTTCCTTTGAAGTCAGTTTGAAGCTTTGAAGTCAAGGCTTTAAGACACAGGAGCAGTAGAGAAGAATTAATCTAGCTCTTGGGCTTCGCCTGCAGGTTTACGCGCTCTTTGCAGCTGAGTGTGAAAACCTAAATTTAAATCAGGATATACGGAAAATGAAAAAGTCATTTGGTCCACAACCCAGTGCCTCTATTTCAGAAATGTCATTAGTAGTGGACCTTAAATTCTGGGGATGCTTTTGGAATTTGCAAATCTTCCCCTGTTGCTGCTTATCTTTACCTCATTGGAAGGCCCTTGTTGGTGCCTATGATGTAATTCCCCGTTGACCCTCCAGGCCCATAACATTATAACCCCTTATACATTATAGCTTATTAGAATCTGGAAAGCATCTCTTATTCATTATATCATTTGATCTTCAACCTTACAGGATAAGGTTTTTTCTCACTTATAGGAGAAGAAATGAAGGTTCAAAGAGATTAATCAATCTGCTCCAATCACTCATCCAGGGCTCAGAGCCTGGCCCTCTAACTTAACATCCACAGCCATGTGATGACTGTTTCCAGCACTTTTAATTCCTTCCTCACAACTCATACATTCCTACTTGCATCTTAATCTCATTTCCATCCAGAACCTCCACAGTGTCTCTTAAATCGACCAGTCTGAATTCCAAACAAATAAAAAAATAGGAAGACCCCAAAGCAGGGAAATTAGAATACATTAATTTGGATATTTTTAATAAAATTAAGTATTCTGGCTCAGTTTGCAAAGAGAGAGGCATGTTTGATTCCCAAAACAGGCAGCTAAAATTTCACTAATTAATTAAAAGTGCATAATAGTCAATATACCTCTTTAAAAGTTACTCTTCCAATCATATTATGCTTATCATATGATAGTCTTCATAAGGCACATGGCTTTCTAAGGAAGCCAAACTATGAAAATTCTGACAGTTAAACACACATTAGACACTCTAGTACTTGGGTTAGAAGAACAAATCCCCTTCAAGTTTGACTTCTCTTAACAGTTGAGAAAACTGAATCTGAAAGAAACACCTTGTCCAAGTATAGAGAGCAGGCATACGGCTGAGTTTGCACAAGTGTGTGAATCTTATGATTCCTAGGTCAGTTGTGGGAACTCTTGGTAGAAACCAACAGCAGGTGCATCTGTCAGTCAGATGAACCAGGGATTGCATGAAAACCCTCAGCTAGGTAATCCAGCCAGTCATGATGACGATGGAGCACCCTTGCAAAACCTGCCAGTGTATACAACCGTTCCCCTTCAGACTGGCCAAGAAATAAAGAAGGATTGGTTTTGATATTATGTTACTTGATCCCCAAACAAACCTGTGATATGGACAGAGCAGGTACTACTATCTCCATGTGACATATGGGAAAGCTGGGAAAATGGCCTGCTCAAGGCCGTGTTGTTGGCACCAGCAGGCTCTAAAAGGAGCACCAAGTGCTTTCTGTAGTTTGGTGATGCCTCTGGAAGCAGGAACTTGAAGGACGTGGTTAGTCCATCTCAGATGCCTGCAGGAGTGTGGCTGCGTTCCTGTCTGGCACGTGTGCTTCATAGAAACAGTCTGTCTTGGCTCCTGGAACACTTGCCCCATTGACCTGCTCTCTCCTGCAACCTACAGAACAGTGACCTCTGACCACGCAGTCCCCAGACTAACATTATGTGTGCTGTATGCCTTTGGGTGTGATGCTTACTAATTCCACAGAGCTCCGCTGACAAACCAGTACCATCCATTCTGCTGACTTCTGCCTGTCCTTTTGCTAGGCCAGCCTGTCTTCAGGAAAGTCCATGCTAGAGAACATCCACTCCCCTCTGCGGTAATCACCATCGCAGGTACTCGTTTCCTCACGGGCCTGAAAACCACAGTTAACCGCCTTCAAGTGTTCTTTGGGTCTTTAGATTTTCAGTTCAGTTCAGTCGCTCAGTCGTGTCTGACTCTTTGCCACCCCATGAATCGTGACACAATTCAGCCCCTGTTCCCACTGAAACATTGCGATACAATGCTACGGCTTCTCTGCAGTGGGAGGGGTGTGCTGGGTCAGCCACAAGACATCACCACAACAGCCCAGGCTGGGAAGCATGGACCTATAAAGGGGACTCTGTGCAGAGGCCTCCCAAGTTTCAGTATATTCCAGATTTCTTGCAACTCTGGCTTCTCAGGCATGGGTCTTTTATTCCAAGTATTACAAAGTATCTTTAAAAGCAAGCTGACTTTCTTCTCGGGGTCTGCCTTTCCTGCCTCCAGGCAACATGTTAGCCAAATACAAACATGACAGTGCATCTGTGGGGTTTCTCCAGAGTGGAAAGTTGACAGGGTGACTGAAGGATGAGAGAACTATCCCGCATCGACAGTAGGATTAGAGCCCAGTTTGAGCTCCTTCTCCCTTGTCGCTGCGCCTCTGGATGACACGGATACCCGCTCTTCAGTTGTCACCATCACCCATCACTGGCCACAGTGACAGAAGCATGCCTCAGTAGGACTTCCCTTGTTTCTCACATCCCACACACCCACTTAATCATCATGCAGCCTTGACTGCAGAGTTGTTCCAGAATATTCCTCATGGACCTAAATTATGGGCCTCTTTAGGTTCTAATCAGAGAGGCCAGCCAGTTGCTACAAACTGCCAGGAGATATCTGCTCTCAGGTTTCTCCCCTACTGATGACTTTATCCCAGTATTAGTTTCTGTCTTGTCAATACTGATTTTTACCATGGCTCTTCATTATGCATTTGATTTTTAAGTTGCATTGTTTTTTAAGACCACGATGTTATGTAATTTGTTGTCAACTTTTCAGTAAAATAAGGTGAGTTTAAAAATAGGTACAGGCACACATACATATGGGGCTTCCCAGGTGGCGCTAGTGGTAAAAATCTGTCTACTAACACAGGAGACAGAAGACACGTGGGTTCGATCCCTGTGTTGAGAAGATCCCCTGGAGAAGGGGATGGCAACCGACTCCAGTATTCTTGCCTGGAGAATCCCCATGGACAGAGGGGCCTGGTGGGCTGTAGTCCATAGGGTCACACAGAGTCGGACACAACTGAAGTGACTTAGCACACAAGCATACAAGCTTATGTACATATACAGATAGAGAGAGGGGGAGAATTAAATAGAGAATTTCTTCTATCTGAGAAGCCAAACTAAATTACAGCATGTGCATAAAGAAGGAAATGAAACTTATTTGACCATATTAAAATGAACTGCATTTGATCCAACACTCAAAGTGGAAAGAAACATAATAGTTGATCAAAAAATGTGCTGTTAAACTATTTCCCTATTCAATAAAAGCTATCTAAAGAGAGAACACTTAAAAAAATTGCTTAGCTCTCCTTTTTGCCAGTTGCAAAAATCTGGATAATAAATGCTAACTTATCTGTATCATTAGAATAGTAGGGCTCACTCAGTCATATCTGACTCTTTGCACACCCATGGACTGTAGCTGGCCAGGCTCCTCTGTCCATGGGATTTTCCAGGCAAGAATACTAGAGTGGGTTGCCATTTCTCCAGGGGATCTTCCCAATCCAGGAATTGAACCAAGGTCTCCTGCATTGCAGGTGGATTCTTTCCCAGCTGAGCTACCAGGGAAGCCCATCTGTATCATTATAGAGCATTAAAAGGATTTATCCAGCTACCATCTGTTACATATAAATATCTCCTAAACATTCATGACATTTATTAAGTGAAAATAGCCTTGACCCTACTATGACACTAAGCCTTTGTGCTTTGACTTCTCTCTGCCTGGAATACCACTCCCTCCTCCATTATAACACCTCCTAGCCAGCCTTCCAACCATCTTCTCCTGCTGAGCTCCTCTATACATGCTTCAAGGCAAATTTCAAGTATCTCCTCTCTCTCAAAGCTTTCCCTGATTCCCTGGGACAGAGGGAAGCTGCTTCCTCCCCCTGACTCTGCAGTCCTTAGCTGTTGTAGCAGCAGTTGCCCGATCTATGTGCCTCACTTCCCGCTGGACCATGAGTTCCTAGAAAAGGGAATGGGACTGGAAGGCCTGAGTTTGCTGACATATGGTGAGAGTGTGAAGACATGTGCGAAATGACTGAATAGTCTGTCTATGCATAGAGCAAATAAGAGACTTCTCTAACAGTGAGTTGGACAGTCACATGACAAATACTTAGTAGGCACCTACTACTTTATACTACTACATCATAATAGGCTCTGGGGAATGTGAGGGCAATTCAGAGAGCAATGAGACATATTGTTCTGTCTTGTTAAGTTTTTATGCAGGATATTTGTATGTAAATGTGGTTTTTGGAGAAGGAAATGACAACCCATTCCAGTATTCTTGCCTGGAAAAATCCCGTGGACAGAGGAACCTGGCAGGCTACAGTCCATGTGGTCGCAAAAGAGTCAGAGACTACTTACTGACTAAACAATAACAACAAAAGGTAGTTTAAATACAAAAAGTAGTATATTAGAAGTGTCCATGTTTAATATATACACACAACAAATACCAAGAATTAATTTATAGTGGTCATTCCTAAGCAAGTCAGTTGAAGGATATTTCATGCAATAAGAGGTAGAGTTTTGAAAAATAAGTAGGATTCAGCTAGATGAAAATGGGGAAGCTTTTCTAGATGGGTAGACAGTAGGATCAAGTGTGGCATTAAATTCAAGTCCGGAAAAAGAGTGTAGAAGAAAGTGACATAAACAGGGTGCCCTGCTTTTCTTTAGTTTGAAATCTGTTAAGATATTCCTAGATTTTGGTCATTCTCATACCTCTTCTGCATTCCTTCCTTTGGCTTCATACCAACTATACAGTTATGTACTTCATGCAATTTTTTGCCTCATGTTTTTACTTCACTAAATTTGTTTTAGAAAAAAACGACAAAACCAAGTCACTAACACTAATGGAAAGCTAGTATATGTCATAAATACAAAATAAGGTTAAAAAATTTTAAGATGAAAATAGTTATTAACTTCTAGCTCTATGCAATCCAGTGCTCTATGCCTAAGACATGTTTTCTCTTTCCTAAAGGGTAGAAACCCTAATGTCAGGAACTAGTTACAGATGTAACAGCCCCCAAATAAGCATGTCTTTCTTCATCATCAGAACGACTCAAAGATGATTAAAAAGGGAATAACCTTTTTGCTCACTACATGATTTGATTTCATTTACTACCATGTCCATATATTTAATGGCATGTTCCAAATTATTTCATTTTGTGAATTGCAGTTTAAAGTAATGCCACGGTATCACCTTTCTTTTGTAATTTCTCTATATTTTTCTATCTAAATCAATTTGAATCCCATTAAAAACAGCTTCCCATTTGTAAATAAACTGTTAAAAGGGAACATAGTCAATATTCTTCCCCTAATGTCTTGTAATTCAAATTAAAATCCAAGTGGCACTTTCACTTTCATATAAAATGCTAGCGGTGCCTCTAGCCCATCTGCTCCACATTCTAGCAATCAACATCTGGCCTAGGAACCAGTTTTCTGCATCATTTGCTGGCGCATCAGTTGGACCCACCATGGCACCGTCCCTCAGCAGAGGGAAGCCACAGGTCTTTGGAGGGGAAGGGAGTTGTGAACTCCTGCAACAGCTGATGCCTCAGTGCAAAAGGTGAGGAGTCTGGGCTACAAGTCCTTCCCACCCTGATCACTCCCCAGTCCACAGACTCCCATTGCAGGCAGTTTGCCTAGAAGGTTCCAGAAATGAAGGCATCAGGGCTGCAGTCTTTCTGTACCACCGATACTAGATCCTTGTCAATGAGGTCCATTCAGCTCAACTGTGAGGGGAAGTGGCCTGTCTTGTTCCACATCTGGAGCCTGAAGGACAGGGGGCTAAGTGATTATAGGAAGAGTGTCTGTCCTTCACGTGTGCATGGCCTTTTCAGTCTGGGATTTGTCCTAATGACCTTCACACAGAGAGGAACCAACTGTGAGCTTCCCCTCATTAATGGACTCTCAAGTCCATTAACATTTTCTTAGTACCCACTAGTTTCTCCTGGAGTGTAAACTGCTTGGTAGTTCTGGAAATAATTATGCCCCCATGGTGAGTAGTAGTCACTCCCTGAAGGCCTCACGCTCCCTCTTCCTTGCTTCTTTTAAGGTTAATGTGATCAAGGTCCTCCCAACCCATCAGCTTTGCACCAGAGAGACAGCCCTGGAGTATAGGCATCTTACTAAATGGAATGCATGGATGCTTAGCTTCTTAACTTGCAGTAGAGACTCTTGGCAAATAAGAGGCTAAGATAAGAATTTCCCATCTATCATCTGGTTGCCCCGGGGCATTTTCTGTTGCCTCTTGAAAGTAGAGAGGAGGAGACCAGATTCTTTCACCTGGCAGCTTTAACTGTGTTTCCTCTTGGTCATGTGCTAAAAGGATGTGTACAAATGGCCAGGGGAAGCGGCCCTGGGAATGGGCCATCCCTAGGATGGGAAGTGTTCCCATCCTAGGGAACACGTGGGTGATTCTCTCATTAGAGACGCCCTGGGGCAGAGTTTTCCCCGGGATATGATCCTATCAGTTGCTTTTCCTGATCAGCTCTTTGGCTGGTGGTTAGTTTGTGGGATGTTATGATCACTTGCTGTCACAGTGATCACTGACCCCACAGGTCAGGCATCTGTCCAGTTCTGCCCTCCCTGCAACATCACCCCAGAGACTTCTAGTAGGTCATCAGGACTTCCTTCCTTCTTGGTGTCCTTGTTCCAGGATCCAGGGATTTCCAAATAAAATGGAGTCCATCCTCAATCTCTTGCCCTTCCCTTTCACAGATGAATATGATGACAAGCAGCCACTGACCAGCAAAGAGGAGGAAGAGAGGCGCATTGCGGAAATGGGGCGCCCCATTCTGGGAGAGCACACCAGACTGGAGGTGATCATTGAAGAATCCTACGAGTTCAAGGTATGCTTATCAGCACTGCCCACAAGGAAGGCCAGACAGTTCATAGGGTCAGTCTATGCTGGATAATCTGTCCAGAGAGAGGAACTGGCTCACTGATGGACAGACCATCAGAGCAGAAATGGAATTCGAGAGTTGGTAGGGAACTCGGGGATCTTGTAAACTAAATAGCATCAGAACCAGGGTCTGGGGTTCCGGTTCAGACCCTGATCACTAACAGGATCCCAGGTGCCCTAAAGGGAGGTTTTGTTCAAGAGGACAGCAAGGAGAGCCAAAGATGGGCTCTAAGAGACTGTTATCTGTGGAAGAAACCATGCTTTGTTTGAAAGAGCTAGTCAATCTGGTAGAAGCAAGCCTTGGCACTGCTAAAAACGAGGCTTTTGTTTAGAGGGACGTTGGTAAGCTCTCCCCGTGGAACATGCGATTAATAAGCTCTCATGTATATGTAGTCATCTTCTCAAGATCCTAGGACACTTGACTACAATCTGCAAGCTGAAGGTAGAGTGCCTATAATCAGAGAGTTTGTCATCAGACAAAAAATTAGATTTCTAGTTCTCTAAATGAGAAAATTCATTTTTCAGAAGTTAAGCAAATGGACCTTAGGGTGAGCTTAGGACTTTGAGGGGAAACTTTCCATCTGTTCTTAGCTACTTACTGAGCCCTCATCCCAACTCCCATCCCATCTCACTCACATGGTCCTCCCTCCTAGAAGCCCCCCAGTAGAGGTGCACCTGCATTCTTCAGTGGGATGTGTGAGACATTCCTGAGGCAATATTGTTTGAGGTATTTAACTGTTAGAGAAGATTCTCTTGTCAGTTACTCATCCCCCAGGTGATGGGATTCTCAGCCTTGGTTTTAGAATAAAGAGGGTTCCTTTGGAGAGACCTGTCACAAGTTTCCATCATATTTAGGAAAAGTCAAGGTCATTTCTTGTTACCTTCTACAGAGAATTTTGAATCGGCATCAACCATGACACTTGGAGGACTTAACAAGATTGGCTGAGTCGAGAGAAAAGTCAGAGGCTTGTCATGTGCTTCTAGTTACGGCAGTCCTGATGATGACAGCTATTATCAGGGGCACTAACAATTGTAGATACAAAGCTGGAGGCCGAAAGGTCACCACCCTAAGGAGAAACAACCTGGCAAAGGATGATGTTGAAAGTACAGAGTGGGCCAGTTGGAGATGGGCCCTTTCAGTTTATTATCCTCTGAATATTTTGCTTCAGTTCCAGTGACAGTTGTACTACCATACTTGACATTCTGATGTGGCTTTGGCCTTCCGGATGGACCCTTCAGATCATATTTCCCTTCCTTTCGATTAGCTGATAACATGATCTCTTTCTCTCTCAAACCTTAGTCAATTCAGGGACACTGCCTTAAACATGTACAGGTTTTGACCTAAGACAAATGATATGTGTTTTCTGCCTCTTTGCAATGAGTGGGAATTCGAGGAAGCTCTGACAGTAAGTGTGGGCGTGTGGTAGACTAGTCGGGTGGTAGTCTTTTTGGGAAGAACGGCCTCAAGTCCCAGAAGTGACCCTTCTCCTTGCAGTTGCTGTGATTTGTGGTAGTGCTTTGGGTGCATCTGCTTCCTTAGTTTTCTTGTGAATGCTTGGCTGCTCCTGTTGTTCCATGAACTGACATTTATGTGGAAAGCTAAGAGTGCTAATTGTACAGAACCAAGCTTAAAACAAAAGTCTTAAAGAAAAGAAGAAGAAAAAGAAGAAGTGACTCAGTATTAGTAGAGCAGTGGAAAATTTAATGCAAGGTCGCTGCAGTGTGCCATAAACCATGGGCCCCAACCTCCAGGATCTAATGCCTGATGATCTGAGATGGGGCTGATGTAACAATAATAGAAATAAATGCATGATAAATGCAATGTGCTTGCCTCATCCCAAAACCATTCCCACCCCAGTCTGTGGAAAAAAAATTGTCTTCCATGAAACTGGTGCCAAAAAGGTTAGGGGCTACTGCCCTAAACCACACAAATTGACCTTTTCTTGGCTTTTCTCATTTGCAACAGAAGTCAGGTGAGATGAATTCTCTAATAGCCACTGGTCTTACATAGAAGCCAAAGAAAAATCCATTTATTGATGATCATACAGCAGCAGTCTTGAGACTCTGGTGTTTGGCTGCATTTCACTGATCAACAAAAATATAGTAAGAATAGATTTTAATTTTGTAATCTCTCTGCCACTTCTGGATGTTCACTGATAGATAATGCTGAGCAGGGCATAGATAAACTCAGTTGCAGACAGCACACTCTGGATGAAGCCAGGAGAGAAGCAAGTTCATGAAGCCTCCAAGAGGAAAGGATGGGCTTTGCAACATCCTCTATTCTAACCACTGAGGCTATTCTTCCTTGGCCCTTAGGCATTGAAAGAGGCTTGTATTTGCTACAAAGAAGTTTCCATTTCAGGATGTTTCCAAGTCAGGACTGTGCTTGTTTGTATAAACATAACAGTGTTTGATGTCAATACTGTTGTTCTAAGCCTAACATCTGCTACCCTTTATATAACTCTGGGGTTTCAAAATCAACCAGGTCTGAGATTTCCTGAGGCCTTAACCAACCCAGCCGTTATTATCTGATTCTTTTCAACCTTTCTAGAGTACCGTGGACAAACTGATTAAGAAGACAAACCTAGCCCTGGTGGTTGGGACGAACAGCTGGAGAGAGCAGTTCATCGAGGCGATCACTGTCAGTGCTGGTAAGTGCCTTTCTGTGAACATTATGAATGATAATGTCATTCATTGCAAGCTGACTTTTCCTGCCATAAACACTTGGTCTATGTCAAAGCACCAAAGATTCTCTGTGATGAAATTAAAAGAGAAATAAATGTATTTGTAGCATATGTGCACATTTTGGGGACAAATTTAGAGTTTATAGATGAAGTAAATGTCTTCAGACAGAACTTCCTTCTCTGTCTACATTGCGTCTCTCTCTCTGGAAATAGACAAGATAAATTTAAAGCCTTCACATCTCAAACTCATGGATAGCCAATCACAGGGCTTTGTCTGGAAAATTTCTTGAGAGCAGGAGAAGTGGCCAAGTGTAGGTCAGAAAGGAAGCAGCAATATCATTGTTGAGCCAGGGTGATATGAAGACCCTTCACCGCCACCATCTGCATCATTTTAAACTCTCTTCAACAGTGTCTAACATTAAGTGTTTGCACTGGCTCTGGATATAAAAATAGAATCACATTCTGTTTCTTCCTGTATACGCAAAGTGCAGAGTTTTATTTAGGAAAATCCTGCAAAATGAAGTGTGCTGCAAACACAAGAAGCCAGACACCTGAGGAAATTAAATTCAGAAAGATGTATCTGTTTCATGTATCGCCAAGCCTTGTCCATTCTCTGTGTGATGGTATAAGGGTGGAGGAAAGCCCCTTTCAGAGATTCAGGAAAGTACCACCATCATGGTTTTCAGGTCTTCTGCTGCATTTCCACTGGTTCTTTCTCTTTAAAGATCCTTGCAGGCTCATCCTCTACTGTTACAGTGAGTGAACAAAACTAGAATTTTCTAAGTAGTGATTCCCAGACTGTAAAATATGGAAACAGCGTCACTAGCGATTGGGTCATGACTTCTAACACAACCCCCTCTTTCCAATCTGCCAGAGAATAATTTGACAGATCTCCCAAATGCTGTGGGAACAGAGGGTGGTAAAGGAATGTTTTTGCCTGTTTATTAATAGTACTGTTTATAATCACACTTCGGTTTCTTGCAATGAAGTCCGCAGTGGAAGTTTATGAACAGTAAATGATGAGTAATTGCATAGGGGAGTAAATTTGAAATTTACACATAAATTCCAATGGAGGTGAGGGACTCCCTGTGTTATTCTTTTTGGACTGCTGTCACAAAATACCAGAGACTGGGTGGACTTGTAAACTGCAGAAACTTACCTCTGCCAGTTCTAGAGGCTGGAAGTCCAGTGTGAGGGCCTGGTAGATTTGGTGCCTGGTGAGAGCCTGCATCCTGGTTCATGGACAGCTGATTTCTCACTCTGTCCTCACATAGGAGAAGAGATGAGAGAGTGCTTCAGGGTCTCTCTTTTTAAAAAATTTACTGCATTATAGTTGATTTGCAATGTTGTACTAGTCTCAGATATACAGCAAAATGATTCAATTATACACATACATATATTCATTCTCTTTAAGATTCTTTTCTCATACAGGTTATCACAGAATTTTGAATAGAGCTCTCTGTGCTCTGCAATAGGTCCTTGTTGGTTATCTTATATATAGTAGTATATGTATATTCATCTCAAGTTCCAAGGGCATTAATCCTGTTGATGAAGACTTTATCCTGATGATTTTATCATCTTCCAAAGGCTGCACTTCCATATACCATCATATCAGGAATTAGGTTTCAACATACGAATTTGGGAGGGACATAAACATTCACTCTCTAGAACTCCCTCAATATGGCTTGTATTTTTTTCTGTAAATCTAAGATTAATATCTGAGGCATGGGAGTTATACTCCTTCTCAGAATACAAACGAAAAGGACAAAGATAACTTGAATAAGACACTGTTGACAAGGCCAGTGGTGGAAGATACTTTAAAATAACCAAATTATTTTATGGACTTTGACATATCAGAATTGAAACATTAAAAGCAGCATAAGTCTTAATGGATCATTTCTAATAGTTTCCACACTTCGTTTCGCTGCAGATATATGAGCATTTAAATGATGATCATGACCTGGCCTTATTCATTCATTCATTTTTCTATATGTCAATCATCATTCTTGGTGCAAAGGATATGACAGTGAATAAAACAGACAAATATTCCTACCTACATGAAGCTTACCTTCTAATGCAGGAGATAGCAGATAAGTAAAATAAGAAGTCAAAGTGTATGTACAATGATGAGCTTATCATCAGAACAGCAAAGCTGTGGAGGGGGATAAGAAGCTTGCCTAAGGGGCTGCATTGGACAGTGGCCAAGAAGACACAGTCCATAGACTTGTCACTGCTGAATTTGCTTTTCTAGCAGTAGGGTGGTTTTGTGTTGATTTATTGGCACATTTTTGTAACTTTCAGGGATGAAGGTAAACATTTTATGGCCAAACTATGGTAATGGAAAAGGGTGGTTTTAAACAGCAAAATGATTATGCTGCAAAGTTGTATTTTCGCTCCTGGTCAGAATAGGTATACAGAGAAACAACTCTAAAGGTGCTAAGACTTTCTCAAAGGGGAAGATTTTGGCTTGACAGCCCTTTCTTACGTTGAATTAAATCCTCTTGAAATCTCATGAGGTCAGTATTATGACTATCCTGACCTTTGGGAGGAAAAATCTGAGCCTCTGAAAGGCAACTTGGTTTTGGAAAGTAGCCCAGAGCCCTGATCTACCAAATACTAGTCCAGTGTGCTGTCCATAGCTCTTGAGAGAGAAATGTCAAAGCAAGGAAAACTGGTCCTCCCCTCTGGCTCATGACTTCCTTAGCTTTGTCACCACTGCTGAAACTGTTTTCAGCACTTAGACGATGGGACTAAGTCCCCTCACATCCTTTGAAGAACTGTTGATGAATGAAATGCAAAACCTCTCAAGGATTCTTATTTATCATGTAATGTATTATGTTTAAGTTTCTAAATGTATGCTTGGGAACAAGACAAAAATTGCTTAGAAATTTGCAGGCTGCTGGGTAAAATTGACCTTCTTTACAATTTTGAGACAAAATATCAGAAAGGCAAACTGATAGTTTATAGGCATTAAATTACATGAAGGGCAGTTAGGAAGCTCAATAGTTGTCATTACGATTAAATTTAGGTCTCTAAAGAATGTTAATATTCTTGGGTTGTTAAATAGACAATAAAATTGGTAAAGCAGCATTTCTTGACAACAGAATTTTGTTGAATTTTAAGATTTCATGGCTAAATAGTTGAGAATCTGAAAGAGTTGCCTTATTAAAAATGTTAAATTGCTGTTAAACGGCTCTACTGAGAGGTTTTTTCCCATGCAATTTTCTGTGCAAAATTGAAACGATCTATCTTCCTAAACAAAAATAATAATTTTATAAATTGAATTTTGCTTGTGTTTCCACTGATTATATTTAAACTAGTTTCAAGGCAACCCCCAGCAGTCTTTTGGTTCTAGGGGTTGAACCCCTACCTTCACTGAATTTCATAGCTCTGTCCCTAGATCTCCCAGGACCATAATGTTTCTGTAAACTGAGTTCTTGTAGTTCAGTATTTGAAGAGTTAAAGGACTCATTTGATTCCAGGGACTAGAAGGGGATTATACAGTCATATCCCTGAAGTTCTCCTTCTGTCTTTCCCTGGACAGACTACCGGGAGTGTGGCCCGCAGCACTGAGGTGCCCGTAAAAATTGGCAAGACAAGTCAGGTACCATTAGGTGGTATGAGCTGTATTGGCAGATGTATTTCTAAGGGAACCCAGCATTCACTGTGTGTCCAGTTTAAATTTCCCCCAAGGCCACCTTCTTCCTAGTGTCTCTACCAAGACAGGAATGAAGGGTTGGCTTTAAGAAATCATGGACCAGCTGGGCTGCAAGGGAGAAATGTGTCAGGAAGAGGGCAAAGGTTATTTGGGTAAAGAGAAGCAGAGTGCCAGTGCCAATTCCATAGCCAGCACACTGCTTTTATTCCCAGCAGCCTTGGGCTATGGTGAGGTGAAGGGCAGAGGGGTGACAAGCCTGGCTTTGGAGTCAGATGCATGTTTGTGTCCCAGACCTCCAACAACATCCTGGATGACTCAGAGAGGATCGTTGTTGTTCGGTCACTCAGTCAGGTCCGACTCTTGCAACCCCATGGACTGTAGTCTCCCGAGCTCCCCTGTCCATGGGATTACCCAGGTAAGAATACTGGAGTGGGCTGCCATTTCCTTCTCCAGGAGATCTTCCCAACCCAGGGATCAAACCAGCATCTCCTGCATTGGCAAGTGGATTCTTTAGCACTGAGCCACCTGGGAAACCCTCTAGGCAGATTATTTCCCCTCTAAATGTTAGTCCCCTTATGTGAAAAGTAGAGAAAACAGCTCCTCACTCATGGAGTTGCTATAAGGACTAATCAAGGCAACATGTATTTTCACCAGAACCAACTTTTGCATTAGGATACCACAGTTGGTTATCTGGGAGGCAAATCATCTTGAATATTCTATGATAAAGCTCTTAGAGGAAAAAACATAGGCAGAACATTCGATGACATAAATCAGCGCAAGATCCTCTATGACCCACCTCCTAGAGTAACAGAAATAAAAACAAAAGTAAACAAGTGGGACCTGATTAAACTTAAAAGCTTTTGCACAGCAAAGGAAACTATAAGCAAGGTGAAAAGACAACCCTCAGAGTGGGAGAATATAATAGCAAATGAAACAACTGATCAAAGATTAATTTCCAAAATATACAAGCAGCTCATATAACTCAATACCAGAAAAACAAACAACCCAACCAAAAAGTGGAGAAAAGACCTAAACAAACATTTCTCCAAAGACATGCAGATGGCTAGCAAACACATGAAAAAATGCTCAACAACGCTCATTATTAGAGAAATGCAAATCAAAACTACAATGAGATATCACCTCACACCGGTCCAAATGGCCATCATCAAAAAGCCTACAAACAATAAATGCTGGAGAGACTGTGGAGAAAAGGGAATGCTCTTGCACTGCTGGTGGGAATGTAAATTGATACAGTCACTATGGAAGATGGTATGGAGATTCCTTAAAAAACTAGGAATGAAACCACCAT